AGTGTGTGTGTGTGTGTGTATATATATATATATATATATATATATGTATATGTATATATATGTATATGTGTGTGAATATATATATATATGCATATGTGTATGTGTATATATAAGTGTGTGTGTGTGTGTGTATATATATATATATATATATATATATGTATATGTGTATATATATATATATATGCTAATAGAATAATCTTTTCAGGTTGCAAATAAGGCTTCTAACTAGAACATTTTATTTTTTTTATCATAGGAACTAAATAGGCTTGAAAACATTCCTCTTCTGCTGAGTTTTAGGTTTATAAAACTTTATGACTAGTTTGTTTTCAGCAGCCACAGCGTCAGTTGTAAGCACCGCTCCAAACAAAAGAATGCCTCCGAATTGAAGTCTTTTCCAAAAGCTCTCTCACAGTGTTTACAGCATTCGTGCCAGACAGTTTTATAAAGGCTCTCATGCCCAGTCCTGCATTTATCTTCACTGCATGGAAATGTGCTTCCAGGGTGCCGTTTGCGCCCTGAAGCAGGAAATCTGTTCACAGCTGATGCATTTGTTTGAAAGTGACTCCATTTAGCTGTGTCTCTGGTAAAATGATTTGTTGAGGTGTCTTGGCTTGTTCTTTCCTGCAAAGAAAAAACAAACATTAAAGGAATACATCATCAAGAGGTGGCAAAAAGAGATACCGATCTGCTGTGCAAAGTTTTTATTGTTGATTTATGAGCCTGCTTGTCCAACAAGTTGGATTATTTAGAGGCAAACAGTGGTGAGAACCTCAAAAGTAGTTTTACAGAAATGGTTTGCATTTTAAACATTGTTGATCCTAGGTTATACATACGGAGAGCTGTTTTATTATGAAATAAATACATTTTAAAAATAAATAAACTATTGGAAAATATTCCGCAAATAGATTTCCTCATTAAAGATTGAAGTTTATTAAGATGTATTTCATTACGAAGTGAAATCTATTACATTTCTTAATGCTTTAATTTCAAGATATATTAATTTCGATACATAATTATTTAAGATGTATTTTTTTACTTAAATATGTATTCTTTTATTTGTTCATTTAACAAGTAATTTATTTCAATATAGATCTATTTACATCAACATGTATTTATTAAATATATGTCTGCATAAGTTTTTGGAACTATTACTTTAATGTTTATACATCCTAATTTGATGTTTTCATTTAATACTTTGCAAAGATTTTAATCCATTTTAGGATTTTTTACACATTTTTTCTCTGAAAAGAAACAGGAATTTAGTGTAGTCTCCTAAATTGGTGACGTGTATAAGTTCTTTAGTCTTTTTTCAGGTGTTTTAAAGTTTTCCTAAAACTTTGCGTTTTCCTCTAATTCAGATTATAAAGTTTAACCGTCAAGAAAGACAATTTCTACACATTCAGCAAGAATCATCTTTTACAATGCTTGGCATGTAAAAGGGGAAAAAGCCCAAAACAAAACCACACAAAACCTTGTTTTTCTCTATCCTTGAATAGGGATTTCATCATTTTTAGGACACATAATTAAAACCAATGTCTGTCATAACAATAATGTTTCTGTTTAGGTTCCCAATCAGTGGCCTGTGTGACGGAAAATGGCATCACATAGCCTTCAGTGTGTCCTCCGACCACCTACGGCTGTATGTGGACTGCTTGCTGCTGGAAAGCGTGGACTGGGTCAACCATGGCTTGGAGATCGGAACTGATGGTCTCCTCATGGTTGGAGGCATCCTGGAGGCCTTTGAAGCTCCATTTGAAGTAAGCTGCTTTCAGACAGGGTTCCCGCGGGTCCTTAAAAAGTCTTAAAAGGCATTGAATTCTTCAAAATAAAA